TACAGTCATGAGATTGGTCTGTTTCGGGAAGCATTATACGGCGCAACTGATGGTGAACAACTTGAGTAGAAAAATTCAACTATATCTAATCTATAAATATCAGGATTTTGACCATTCCACTCAGTAGAACTATACAATTACTTTATGGTTTCCGTGTTTGGATGGCCTGATCCAAACACGCGGGAATGTTGCGAGAGTTTTAAGAAAAGCGCGCGAAACACGAGCCGAAGGCGAGTGATTTTGCCCGCTTTTCTTAACTCGAGCAACATTCTCAAGTGTTTGGATCATGCTATCCAAACACGGAAACCATAAAGTAATTGTTTTATAAAATAACAACAACACGAAATAGTCTATTGAATTTCCGTGTTTGGATGGCTTGTTCCAAACACGGGTTTCGACCAATCAGAGCACGCAATATATACATGTTATTTTATAATACTTGTTGAAGAGATTTGTAGATGAAATTTCGTGTGGAATATTTATACATTTATTAGATCTGACCTGGAGCAGTTGTGAAAAATGTGAACTATAGGCCCTCTGGTAGGAATCGAAACTGTGGCCTGTGATTCCAGTGCAGCGCTCTAACTAACCAACTGAGCTTTATACTAGTTTATTTATTTACTTCCAAATACAAGACTACTAACCTATAATGAAAATAATTAAAACTTATTTTCTGTGTATTTTTCTCACTCTGATAATTGTCCTAATCAGTCGACGTATATTTTTAGGTTGGTGCTCTACATGACTCACCCGATCATAAACTCGGAGTGCGAAGGAATGCAAAAGTGAATACTTGTAAGTGTGCATCAGTTCTCATTGCGAATCTTACAGTTTACAGTTTGACTCTTACAGTTTACAGTTTGACGTTAGCTTCAGTAGTAACACTGATACCACAAATATGGGATATCGCTCTTACTGGACTTCTAGAGAGAACAGTTTAGAACTGATAGAATTATCCAGTATAAATAAAGTTAGTTTAGTTTAGATTTCCTCCTGTAGTAACACTGGATCAATAAGAGATGATCCTTACTGGACCTGTAGGAAGAACAGTTTAGAACTGGTAGAGCTATCCATGCAGTATAAATAAAGTTAGTTTAGTTTAGGTTTCTTCCTGTAGTAACACTGGATCAATAAGAGATGATCCTTACTGGACCTCTAGAGAGAACAGTTTAGAACTGATAAAGCTATCCAGTATAAATAAAGTTAGTTTAGTTTAGGTTTCCTCCTGTAGTAACACTGGATGAATAAGAGATGATCCTTACTGGACCTCTAGAGAGAACAGTTTAGAACTGATAGAGCTATCCAGTATAAATAAAGTTAGTTTAGTTTAGGTTTCCTCCTATTGTAACACTAAATCAATAAAAGATGATCTTTACTAGACCTCTAGGAAGAACAGTTTAGAACTGATAGAGCTATCCAGTATAAATAAAGTTAATTTAGTTTAGGTTTCCTCCTGTAGTAACACTGAATCAATAAGAGATGATCCTTACTGGACCTCTAGTTCCTATTCACAATATGCAATCAATTGCGTTCCTAGATAAACAATACTGGTCATTGAAAGAACTACAAGAGGCCCTATTGAGTGAAAACGTCGACGGTATTTTAGTGGATACATACGTTGCAGATTCACGACGCGATCTCTTTGGTGATTCAAGATTACTGTTGAAGCAAGTTATAGATTTGAAATCAAGTTATGGTGTAGTTATGGGCAAGGATGCAACGAAACTTCGAAAATGTTTTAATCAATTTTGGATCGAAAATAAAGCAAAGAAAATCGCCTACATTGAATCACAGTCTGACCCACTAGTGGTGAGTGTGAGAGAAATTTATTATTTTTGCTCCTGTATTAATGTAATAACCTGAATTTATTATTTTTGCTCCTGTATTACCTGTATTAATGTAATAACCTGTATCAACCATAGTGTACCAGGATATGATGATAATAACCTGTATCAACCATAGTGTACCAGGATATGATGATAATAACCTGTATCAACCATAGTGTACCAGGATATGATGATAATAACCTGTATCAACCATAGTGTACCAGGATATGATGATAATAACCTGTATCAACCATAGTATACCAGGATATGATGATAATAACCTGTATCAACCATAGTATACCAGGATATGATGATAATAACCTGTATCAACCATAGTATACCAGGATATGATGATAATAACCTGTATCAACCATAGTGTACCAGGATATGATGATAATAACCTGTATCAACCATAGTGTACCAGGATATGATGATAATAACCTGTATCAACCATAGTGTACCAGGATATGATGATAATAACCTGTATCAACCATAGTATACCAGGATATGATGATAATAACCTGTATCAACCATAGTATACCAGGATATGATGATAATAACCTGTATCAACCATAGTGTACCAGGATATGATGATAATAACCTGTATCAACCATAGTATACCAGGATATGATGATAATAACCTGTATCAACCATAGTATACCAGGATATGATAGTCTGGAAACTAAACAGAAGTCCGTTAATTTGTTTACGGTCACGGTGATTGAGCTCATTGTATTTTTGTATAATGAAGTAATCGTCCAATAGGGATAGCTGAAGTGAAACTAGACTTGCTCACTTGCCACAAGTCGACCTCGAACGAAACTCTAAAGTGAAACGTGCAACCACAATCATAATATGTAATGAAGTTGAAGCAAAGGATTTGTGAGGTACAATTCAACATCAAACAAAGCTTTTCTATTTTGTGGCTTTGATATTTGCCAGGATTCCAGACCATCATATCTTAACAGACCATGTATCAATATAGCAAGCTGGGGGCGTAGTTGGGGTTAGGGTCACATATTATTGGGAGGATATTACATGTCACCTCTGTGACCAATGACAGGTGGATCCATAACACTTAGTATGACAATGTGTACATAAGTAAATCAGACCACAGCCAAAAAAGCGTAACGGCTGCCACGCCATGAATCCGGTAAAGGATTCACCCTACCAAATACCGCAGCTTTTCTCCGGATCACCGGCTTCATTTTCCATCTGTACTGACACTGATCTAATAAAAGGGATGACCGTTACTGCATACTGAAACTCTAGGGAGAACAAGTTGAATAGATAGATGTGATATGTTCAGAATAATGTGGTCAGGCGTAGAGGCATTGTTGCTTCACACATTCCTTATATCTTGTTTTCAGGTGACACCGATATCGTCAGAAGAACTGGTGAGCGAGACATTCAATCCAACAGGTTATATGTATAAGATGAGTTTAAATATTTCTCTCATTGGTTTACTTCTGGGAATAGTCTGTGGTTGTGTCTATGAAGTGATGAGAAGAAAAAAGAAGAAAACTAAAGTCAAACCTGAAGGTAATTGTACAAATACGTACTACAACATGAGCGGCCGTGCGTGAGAGTTTGTATATCTGATCAGTACAACACGGCCGTGAGAGTTTGTAGTCTGACCACTATCTGCTGCACGATAGTGCTTGCTGTATGATTCATGTTTTTTTGGCTTATTCTTCTAGTGATCTCCGCTCCACCAAACAACGCAAATCTCAAACAAATGTTAGAATTACTTGAACTGACGGTTAAAGACAACATCAGAAAACTCCAGGCCAAACATAGAGACGAAATCAAGAACCTGGCAAAGGTAAAACGGAAATCAAAGGTATAAATAACTAAATAAGTTAGTAAGACTATAAATCAAATATTAATTAACAGATGTAAAGATGCATTTCTAATCGTTAGGGTTAGACTGTTTAATTAACAAAAAATAAATTAACTAAAATCATTTGTATAAAATATATGTATAAAATATATTGCGACATGGGTATAAAATATAAAATATAAAATGCGATAAAATATAAAATATTAAATATACTGCAATAAATTGTATTGTAAATTTAAAGTTTTAAATGTAAATAGAAGTTTTTAATGTGTAAAAATGAGTTATAAAATAAAAGTATAAATAAAATAAAGTTAAAGTAAAAATTAGTAAAACTTTGTTTTGAAAATTCTCATGTTTGAAATAACGTTAGGTCTACTGGGTAATGAAGCAGTCACAATGCTTCTACTGTAATCTCTGCAATCAGGGTCTGCGAAAGCTATTTCATACATTTTAGACACGATGATAATCTGAAAGCCTCAGATTCGGTATATTTTACGTCATAGATGAAAACATTGCAAGGTTACGCCGCTCCCCCTGGTTTCTCCTCAGTGTTGGAAGAATTACAAAATTTGTCCTGAATAAAAGGGGGTGATATAGGGTTTTACCTATATATATCTTCTAGTTTGTCCTTCCTCCACGCCATTGTCTTTCTTGTGTGAGTCTGACCTCCACAGAAATTTGGAGAGTCGCCTGATTCTCACGTTGAAAAGTGCTGACACTATCTACACGGCCTTGGACTTTGTACCATGCATTGTTTACATATATAACAATTAAAAATACAGCCGAAAAAACATTGACTTAAATATCACGGGGAAATACCGTCCAATTAGTCTACAACGAATGCTGGTAGCAACGCTGAAAGGAATTGCGTTGAAGATATATTAACTCTTTATAGTCTTATATACAGCAAATGTATTATTGTCTTCTCGTAAAAAGACTACAGATTCCAGTGGTATGAAAACCGAGCAATTCAAACAACAATAGTTACTCGATGACGCGATGTATTAAACATATCAGGTCACAAGACGCTGGCTTCAACTTGTTATTGGCAAGCTTTAAAAGGCTGTACGCTATTTACAAAACATCATTTGCAGTGTCGTTTGGTAAAAAGATAAGCAGTGTCGTTTGGTGAAAAGAATAAGAGCTGTTTGGTGTAACCAATTGGATACGTATTGAAGTGAATACAAAAGAAATAAGTTAGAAATTTAAACAGATGAGTGCTAGTTGACCTCATAGGTCAAGTTGATTATACAAATTACGATATTGGGAGTACCGACAGTATATTTCGTAACGAAATAGGGCGTTAAAATATACAAGGATATTTCAGCGTGATGGTGCCCAAGATTAGAGTATCGCTTGCAAGAAAAAATGCGTCGAAACGCGAGAAACTAGTGACGGGTTTCGTCATCATGAGTGCGATGGTGTTTCTCTGGATTGGGGGAACTTCAGGTACATATATAGTAGGATCATTTTAGTATTGCCCGATTTGTACTAGCTAGGGACGGACGATGCATGCCAATGAAAAGATTCTTTCTTCATTTCAGGCGCACTTGAACCTAACCTTACAAGCGTGGAATCCTGGGGCGAGACACAGATCAAGGTTACCTGGCAACCGTTCGATCACGTGGACAACGATAAGCCTCACTTCTATGAACTTTATATTGATGACCATCTGGAGTACTTTGGAAATGACGTCATCTATATAGCGAGACGACTCACCCCGGATACGATGTATCATTTTAAACTACGTTCTTGCATACAAGACAGTCGTGTTTGCTCTTCGTTTTCGAAAACATTGTCTGGGACAACGGCTCAATCAGGTAAGTTTGGATTTAAAAAACCTTACATTGGATGGCGCCGTCACTTCTAAATTGTTCTAGAGATCCGATAAGGACCATAACCATTCCTGATTCCAGCAGTGTTACTGCTGGAGGAGACCCTAGACTCCCCTAGTACCCGAGAAAACCTACAGTATTTGGTGGAGACAAATTGGAAGGGCGCTCTTGTTTCATGCAAGCACTTGAAGCAACTTCATTTTGCATTCAAATCTTGTTGTTTACAAAACGTTATTTTCTGCAGGAAAACGTGGCTTCACAAAGTCTTTCATCCAGTGGACAATTCTCATCACAATTCTTGCCAGTACTACGGCACTCCTCGGCGCGAAAATAACCAGACGTTTATGGAGGTATTTAATGATGTAAAAACTATTGTATAAATATGGCATTATTATAAAATAACTTTTGTTTCTTTTGACAGATCATTTCTCTACAAATACGACTATAGGTCTGAAACGAACCTTCAACTTCCAAAATACGCAGCCAGCACTGATACTATTGATGAAGATCTTATTTCTTCACTTTGTTTGAAAAATTTACCAAACGCGGAAGGCAATAGAAAAAGTATAGAGCTTGCATGTAATGCATTTGAAACAAACTGCAAACTTTTAGAGAGCAAAGATATTTTAAAAGATGACGTTTCTGACGAATCATCTTGTTCAAAAGAAAAAAGAAAGTGTAGCAAAGATGCTCCCATTGAAAGTAGTTCTGAGCACGCCTTACGTACAGGTCTGTCAACAGTTCAAAAGAACTGTGAGTTTTTAAACACACACGAAAACAAACATAATTTTACAGTGGAGATTGAAGAAATACATCTCAAAGATAACGAGAGAATCGCAAAGTCGCCTTGCAAACGTAAGACAGGTGAAACGTTAACCATTCAGAGAGCGCATACAAGTCCAAAATTAAAAATTACAAAAGATTTTGACTCGAAACGAAAGAATAAAGGTGGTCACAGACGTGCGCTTTCTTTCGACAGCAACATACTCAACAAAAACCACAAAGAAATATTCAAATCTCACAGCCCAAAACCCACTAAACATAACAAAATTCCACACAACGTTAAACATTCAACTGATTTGGTAATAGTTGTGGACAATAGTAATATTTTTATTGGCGCTCAAGAATGTGCGAGCCTACTTAACCCAAACGAACGTAAGCGTCATATACGTGTCAAGATTCAACAGTTGGTTAAAGTCTTTCAAAGAGGCAGAGTTGTTTCCCGTGCTTTTGTGCAAGGTTCCAGTCCTCCTACGACCGAGCAAGTTTGGGAGGTATATAGGTAGGTCATATTCTACTGTATATTTTGATATTTGTCTCGTGAAAACTGGATGTCGTAGGCTATACTAAAATTACCGGTGTCAAAACACGACTGAGGTGAAATTATAATCAGACAATTGCATATCGCAGTCACAGAGGTGAACCCCAGTCACAGAACTGAAAGACACCTGACACATGTCTTTTACACCATCCTGAATCTTGCCGACATGCCTTTCTAGACGTCTTGGATATTGTGTGGATCTAGAAGACAGGAGAGGAAGAGATGAACAGAGAGTCGATGAAGGTCTTCATCTGCATATTTACAAGGTAACAAGAAAAAAACAGAAACTGGATACAATAGCTCTCTCATTTCTGAACTGTTCTTCATAGAGATTCAATAAGGAGTAAAGGATCATCTCTTATTGTCCCAGTGTTAAGCCTGATTTACACTATCAAAGTTTCTGTGATCACAGTAGGAATTTTGCATGGGTAAATTCTAAGTTTTGAAGGATTTGTAAGAAATGTTTGAGGGAACGAACTCAGTGTTGAACACTTAGTTCCTTCAAACATTTCTTACAAATCCTCCAAAACTTAGAATTTACACCCATGCAAAATTCCTACTGTGATCACAGAAACTTGATAGTGTATCTTTCCTTTTCGAGGAAAACAGAGTACTGGAAGAAAACCTGTGGACTCCAACTGGAAGCGACTAAATCAAATTATGATGAGATTATTTGCATATGGTTGCAAGAGGATTAGATGTCAATTGGGCCTTTTGTCCTGTTTTCATTCCCTGCCACAAACTGTAACTACTGTCTGTAATATGTTTCGTATGTAATCTGTGGTAAATCTATTAAACTAAACTAAACTAAGAGAAGCAGATATGAAGACACTGACTTCTGGGTGCCCCTGACATCGATGTGTTTTACTGTTCAGGCATTATTTGAGCTATCACCTCGCACACTGATCATTGCAAGCGGAGATGGGAACAAGGGGAAGTCAGAATGCGCTACCAGCTTGCCTGGTTGTGCACAAGCTGCCATTGAGAGAGGCTGGAAAGTAGAAATTCATTCATGGCAACATTCAACAAGTATGGAATGGATTAAACTTTCCAAGAAATATCCTGAGTTGTTGAGCATCCACTACCTTGACAGGTACTCATTATTCAGCTCAACTTTGAAGTCCGCATTCATGCTTATTTTTACATTTGGAGAAGGTAGGAATACACATTCTGTACGAGATACAACGACATGAAAAATACAAACACAACTTCGAGCGAAGGCTCTTTGTCATGGAGTTCAGTGGTAGCACATTCTAGATCTATTAATTATTTCCAGTCATTATTTCTAGTCTCAAAATGATCATATTTTCTTTTTAGGTACTTAAATCACATAACATTTGTGGATGGAAAGTATGGTCGAAGATGTGAGCCATTCCCGGCAGACGTCTTCAAATATGAACTTATTTAACGGGAAAATGACTTCAGAATGAGCGTAGATTTCGTTACTGTGAATTGTAAATACAGTCGACAGGAAAATAAATTTTAACTTCTTATATATTGTACTAATGTGTAACTTTATGCGTATTAACTCCGTAGACACTTTTCTGGAGGTCCTGACATTCTGGGAGGTGGTGTCACCGCACTACAGCTCGTCACAAAATCTGCTCATTTCGCGGCCTTTTCCATTAATCATCATTTGCATCTAAGGACTGTTTATTCTCACTTGAAACAATAATGTTCGTCAATTGCATTTGACAGTTACCAATTCGGCATCACTCCATAATACATACATGAAGTTGTTAGATGTGTAGTCTCAAAGGCCAGTGGGCCTTCTTGGTTAATGTTCAGAATCTGGACTCTTTCTCAGTAGCCTCAGTTGGTTAGAGCGCTGCACCGGTCTCTGCCTGTGTAGGTATAGTGGCAATAATAAGAAAGCTTCATTGATAGGGATACAACTACCTGAAAAATACAAGCAGAACTTCAACGTTTCGATGTCAGTCCTTCGCCGCTACTAAATTCACGACGAAGAGCCTTCGCTCGTCAAAGTTCTCCTTGTATTTTTCAGGTAGTTGTATCCATATCAATCCACAGCTTTCGTAAAAAAGAACTACCGCCCCTTTGAACTTCATGGAGTTGCCATGTTTTTAATTAGAATAGAGCAACTGGTATTTTTGTTTCCCCTTATCAATAGGTGATTATCTCTTCAGATACCTCCCGAAATATGTAGAAAGCACAGATATCTTGATGGAGATCGCATGCCTATTAAAGTCTTCGCTGTGTTTGAAAAATTTAGTAGAGGACGAGAAAGTCAAAATAAACAGCCGAATTTCAGGTAGGAGGGCGATTGTGTGTACACCACTGGTTTAGACAAACTGCATGTGCAGTCTTTCAACTTTGCTGTGCGATTCCCTGGCTTATAATGAGTGTTTATGACTGCAATAGTGAAAATATTTTCGGTGAGATGAAACATCACTTCTCTTCAATAGGCTTGTTCTCCAATAAGCGCCCCCCACAGGCAATTCAATATTCAAATATTCCATGTTATATTTTTAGCGTAAACCTCGAAGTAAAACATTGATAATTGAAAGGCAAATATCAGAGAAATATATCAGTTATTTGTTGGACGAAGAAAGGAATTTGTCGTGAGAAAGTGCGCGGTTTTAATTCACAAGTTTATAAACAAAAATGTGTAAAGATTAGCATGCAAAAATGCTCGGAATTTCCCATTAAGCCATGCGTCAAAAGTCGTGCTGCGAATGCAGAAGAATTAAATGTGTTGATACCGCAAAAGAATTCCAACATTTAACATGGATTTGAACAAGAATTTGTGGTTTTTTCAACTGGTTTTAAAGCTGCCTGGATAGATTTTGTAGTGGCCATGACACTTGATTGTATTTGTGGAGGAAACGGCGCGAAGCAGCGAAATTTATTCAGTGTGAAAGTTCACTTATTGGATAATACTATCAGTGAATATTCACTCAATAAAAAATGCTCTGGGTTAGACTGTCTCAAGAAAATTGCACAAGAAGTGAACTTAAAAGAAGTAGGTATTCTAATATAGCGAATTCTTAATGACCATAGGCAGAGTTAACCTTATTAACTTTGAGTGAAAAGTACTCATGAATTGTGCTGGTTATCATGTAAACAGCGAAGCATTCAGTTGTGTATGTAAACATTCTTTAATCCACTTAGACTCTTAGTATAATCTTACACAAATCTAAATCTGAAAAAAAGCACTGGCTTATTACTCTGTGCTTTTCAATGTAAATTTTAGCAATTAAATTTAATTAAGGCCATGGGGAAGTGATTTTCACTTTAGTTAATTATCAAATTATATGCAGTGATGTTTGGAATTTAAGATTCCGCCGTTTGAGAAATATATCCTAAATATTTGACCTTGAGTTTTGCTTGTTTTACGGCGTGTATGTGTGTGATACTCCCAATATAACAAATATTTTGATATTATTATTAGCACACATACATTACAAATACCATTGTTTTGGCTTATTAGTATTCTTTGGAATTGAGAATTTTTTACAAATAGGCATACACGCATTACACGCATAACTTTATGCTCTTTAATTAATATTATCTATACAGAATGTTAACATTTAGCACTTTTTACTGGGAACAACCCAACAGCATTGGGGCACATTGCGACTTAATCGATTCACTCGGTTTTCATTCAAAAATTCACATCCGCAGAAAACCCTCAATCAAATTTCACATATTTGTGGTTCTATAATCTTTTTGAACCTTTCAACACCTATAGCTAACTCTTTCCCTTTTCTGATGTTATAGACAGAGTTTTATAACAAGATACTGGGTACAAGATATGTGAACAATTAGTTCATTTTAGTCACCCTTTAAGTGGCAATGTGCCCTGATGCACCCTACTTTATTATATTACTCCGTCTAAAGCCGGACGATTTTACTTGTCAAGGAAGAGTGGTACCACTCAATGGGCTAATGATCAACACTTTCCCTTTGGCAAGTAAACTTGTTTGGTACTAGACAGAAATGACAAAGCAGGACGCATATATTTAGATTGCATTCTGAGGTATTTGATTATATAATTGTATTTTAGTGACATGAATCTGCATATATCTATTCATTCATTTTTCTTGCAGATTTCATATTTTGGTTTGAAATATGGTTGCAGTGAGTCGTCTGCTGGAAAATGGCTTGACTTGGATAAAAATCTCTGCAAAGAAATAAAGAGGCTTACCATTGAGGACATCGATGACGTTGTTATTCATTTTCAAATACGATTCTTTGCCACAAATGTGGAGTCGTTAACTGAAGACACGACAAGGTGACTGCAGCATTCTTGTAGCTGTAAAGTTTTTCACTATTTTATCTCTGGACGGGCTTTGCTTATAGGTGAATGGGTCCTAACCATTGTGAGGGATGTACAGTATGTCATCATTTAGCCTGAACTTCAGACAGTCGTTCATTGAGATTGAGATGTCCTCAAGTGGTTGTCTGAAATTCAGGCTAGTTATCATTTAGTTGCCTTAAAGTATGTTTCGTACTATACAAATATAATACAGCTCTATTGTAGGCCTCGCTATAAAGTAGTTATTTTTCCTCTCAAGGTATTTGTATTATTTGCAATTGCGACAAAACATCCAGGATGGTGTACTATATTGCAGTGAAGAGGAAGCGCTGGTGTTGGCGTCTTATGCTTTGCAAGGTTGGTTGCTATAAAATGTGTCAACATTGCAATACATGACAATATATAATCATGACGATGTGTTTTATTCTCACAGCTGAGTATGGTGATTATGATTCAAGTGAGCATAAAGAAGACTTTATTCAAGAATATCAACTTTTACCAACGGTAATGAATCTTGATGAATAAGCTATTGTGTGATATAAGTGACTGCACCAGTGGAGCTGAAAATGTTTTGACTGCCGTGAGAATTGAATTGTGGTCAAGCAATTTTTTAGCTTGCTCAGCATGGAGCCACTCAAGGTGGTCTAAAATTCTAACACCACTTGAATCATTTTCAAATCTGTTATACATTTTGCTATTGATGAACAAATACAGAGTGGCTTGGTATAGGTTAAACAGCCCAATGTTATTTTTTACTTTCAGGATTTCAATACTGAAAAGTCGAATGCAGAACTCTATGCTGAGGTTATTATTATCATGTTTGAGAGTAAAGTTTAATATGGCTGGGAAATATAACAGTTTTTTTTATTGAGACCTAATAAATGTATACCGTATCTTAACCCATTAAGCTGCAATGTACCCAAATGCACCCAACATTATTTACTATATACATTAATGCACATTAATGAATTTATTATTCTTTATATTGCATAACATTAATACTCATTTGAAAGAGGGTCCATCAGCTTAATCATTGTACGTTTTAATTTAACAATATCTTTCCTGTTTGTATAGATAGCGGAAAAACATAAAAACTATGTGTAAGTTTATTAAATGAAACATTTAGTATGTAAAATTAGTAGATGGCTCTTTTGGAGGTAGTTTTCTCACAGTCACATTCCTGTATCATTGTAGTGGAATGTCAACGACTGATTCAGAGTTTGCTTACATCAAGTATGCACACCAACTGGAGTGTTATGGACACGAATTTCATCCAGCTGAAGTAAGTGGAGAATTGCTTTTTCCAATGCATGCACAAGATCAGAAAGCTTGCGTAAAAGGTTCAATCTCTATGTGAGAGAAAAACATCTTTCTTGCTCTGTTTAGGACACTGAAGGTCGCGCTGTAAATATCGGTCCATGTGCCCGAGGCGTCTTTCTTAAATACGACAGTGAAACACCAATCACATACTTCAAGTAAGCCATTATGCCTTGACGATCTTATCACAATTCTGATTGGCTGAGAACGGTGCAGTGTTATTGAAATGCCGACCAAAAAACACCGTTTTTCATATCTAGTTTGTGTCGTATTATTTTAGTTGGCCAGATATTGTTAATATGATGCACAGTAAGAAACAGTTCATTGTTGAAACTTCCAGTTTAAAATCTGTCATTGAGATGGTAAGTTCATTTTCTTAAACCAAAGCATGAATAATTACGTATGCCTAGGGATATGTTTTATTGTGTTATTTGTGCACACATTGAATCCATGTTAATTTGTCAGGGTTCAATTGAAGATGCGAACTATGCTTGGCAGATGTGTGTTGATCATCATCAGTTTTATAGGATTGGAGATCAAAGTAAGGCAAGCAGTATCTGCAGTGAACAAGGGTAAGATTTCAACATCCAATATTATCAAACACTGTGTCTTTTCCGCGGGGATATTACCTCCGCGCTTTGCGTCTACACTACGTGTTCTTGCGCGTCCGTGTGCGTTCCACTGCGTGTTCAGGTGCGTTCCATGTGCGTGTGACCTGCGTGCATATAGTGCGTGCAATAACTGTTTAACATTTTTGTGATTCATTTAACAGTAGTATGCCACTGTAGTTACGGTAATGTTAATTTCTAGCACTGTTTTTAGACGAAAAGAGAGTTCTCCTGCTAAACGAAATTCGGCCACAGTTGTAAGTTTTTATCCCATCAATTTTATTTTATATATTTTCTTTGAATTTCTCAAACCTTGTTTTGTTCTATTGATTGTGATTAAATCACACAAGTTCTGTACTCGAGACAAAAGGTTGTAGGTTTTGAGAGTTTCTTTTCTTCTTTCCAGGAAACGTCTAACGGAAATCCCAACGGTAAATATAACATGTAGTATACTGTACGTGCTGCGTTATTCACATGTGTATGCTCAATAAATTAAAACTAAAAAGTCTTTATTTCTGGCAGGTGAAGGTTTATATAACCCTGCGTTCAATGACTCGACATTACAAGAAAACAACGAAAGCGATCCTGAATCAAAACGAACCAGTCGAGAATCTGGTATCTACGGTTCTGCTGAATCTCGCGTGGATAAACACGATGATAGGACTTCATTGCCGAGCACGTCACATGCTTTGCAAAATGATGTTTTAAATAATAACGATGCTGGCATACCAGCGGACTTTATAATGGCGTCGTATAAGACTTTTGATAATCAACCAAGATCTCGTCAACATCTTGATAGCAATGCACGAAGGTCTTATCCAAGAGCCTCGTCTCCAGGTAGTGACAAAACAGGACAGCCTGTTGGACGGTAAGCTTATGGGAAAAATGGCCGACTCGAGTTTGGACAATCACACTGATAACGGAACCCATTGTTTTTTTGAGAAAATGCCGTTATTAAGGGACACAATGAACTAGGAATATGTCACAGAATAGAGACCGACTTGTGTCTTTATTCTATGAATATGCCCCTATTTCTTTCAAATATTAAAAATAGGTACGCTAAGCGTACATGCTGTCAGTTTGGTGTACTGTACTACTTCATGTTATACGAAATTTGGGTTATAAACCATACATATAAAGCTTCTATCATTCTTCTTCTCTGTGTAGAAGTGTGTCAATGATTGTTGCCAATACTACTGGCGAGAGCTGTGTTGACGCCTGCAGTCTTCAAACGATGGCGACCAGCGGCTACAGCACATCAACAGATTCTGGATTATCAAATACGAAATCACCCGCATTATCCCCCATGTCTCCTGTTAGTCTCATTAGTTCCAGTTCATTCTTTTATGAAGATTATGAAGTACCATCAGCTGACGAACAGGTTTGATCTCTAAGTATAACTGGAATTAGGTGTAAATAGCACAATGAATCATCGATCTAAGTGGTAACCTGTGTTATCGTAAGAAGAACTGCCACGTGAACCAGCTAGATAAGAATGGAGCAAACTGTTGGCAGTGATTCTGATTCTAATGCCCTATTTAAGCCTGGTTACGGTCGTAAAGATACAGTAGAGTCGCAATCTTTCTCAACGGACAGAAGTATTCTCTCTTTATAATTACTCCGCGTATTTTCAGTTCTAAACTGTTGTATTTCGGATGTTGAGAAAGATCGTGACTCAATCTTTACGACCGTAACGACCATATGGAAACCAGGCTCCTCCGTCAAACATTCTACCCAACTTCCTGTGAGTAGACGAATTACGCTGATTATATGCTATTCCTTGTTTTAGTGCAAACAATTGGAAGCAGTTATAAACGGAGGATGTTTGGATATTGAATTCGCTCGAATTAAGCTGAAAGATGAGGTAATCCACCAGCTCGTGTTCTTTGCCTCCTTGTGACGTGTGTAAAACCATGTTTCGATTGCGTAAAATCATGTTTCGATTGTGTACAACCATGTTTCGATTGTGTAAAACCATGTTTCGATTGTGTAAAACCATGTTTCGATTGTGTAAAACCATGTTTCGATTGTGTAAAACCATGTTTCGATTGTGTAAAACCATGTTTCGATTGTGTAAAACCATGTTTCGATTGTGTAAACCCATGTTTCCATTGTGTAAAACCATGTTTCGATTGTGCAAAACCATGTTTCGATTGTGTAAAACCATGTTTCGATTGTGTAAACCCATGTTTCCATTGTGTAAAATCATATTTCGATTGTGTAAAACCATGTTTCGATTGTGTAAAACCATGTTTCGATTGTGTAAACCCATGTTTCCATTGTGTAAAATCATGTTTCGATTGTGTAAAACCATGTTTCAATTGTGTAAAACCATGTTTCGATTGTGTACAACCATGTTTCGATTGTGTAAAATCATGTTTCGATTGTGTAAAAGCATGTTTCGATTGCGTAAAATCATGTTTCGATTGTGTAAAACCATGTTTCGATTGTATAAAACCATGTTTCGATTGTGTAAAATCATGTTTCGATTGTGTAAAATCATGTTTCGATTGTGTAAAACCATGTTTCGATTGTCTAAAACCATGTTTCGATTGTGTAAAATCATGTTTCGATTGTGTAAAACCATGTTTCGATTGTGTAAAATCATGTTTCGATTGTGTAAAATCATGTTTCGATTGTGTAAAACCATGTTTCGATTGTGTAAAATCATGTTTCGATTGTGTAAAACCATGTTTCGATTGTGTAAAATCATGTTTCGATTGTGTAAAATCATGTTTCGATTGTGTAAAATCATGTTTCGATTGTGTAAAACCATGTTTCGATTGTGTAAAACCATGTTTCGATTGTGTAAAATCATGTTTCGATTGTGTAAATTGTAAAAGTATGTTTCGTGTTTTCATTCTACAGTATATAATTATTTGTTTATGATTCTTTTCATGTATAGCGAAGATCAACGGCCTCTGCACGTCTTCCCGCAAATCAAACCAGAAATCGATATCCTGATATATTACCGTACGAGGTATGTCTCATTGACCAGTTCGTTTCGACTCTGCTATCATAATTATATTTTTATATTTAATTATTAACAATGCTAGGAATCAAGGGTGAATCTCGATTCTTCAAACAATACCTCAGGGAATGACTATATTAATGCAAGTTTTATAAAGGTACGGTTTAATTTTCATTGATTGGTTTATGTAATTTTTATTTTATGCGCAGGGTATAACATATATATATATACAGTAGGACATTACACAGCGGCGCGAAGATATGACTTACATCTTCGAGTGGTGAAAACGAGGGCAGCGAGTGAGTAAAATATTGTTTTTAACACGAGAAGATAAAAGTCATATCTTTAAGCCACCGTGCAATGTTTTGTTTATTATATAGTCCCAAGCAAAAAATTGTGAAATTTTACGCTCAAAAGCAAATTGGAAAAAGTCACGTGATCGATATCTTCACTAGTGAAGATATGGAAAATATCTCACTGTGTATTTTTCAGTATCTCACTCTCTACTATATAATAAAATCTCATATTCACTTCAAGGTAAAGGTTTCGAACAAACCGTTCATCTATATTGCATCGCAAGCTCCTACGCAGTCAACTCTCTCTGATTTCTTGCAAATGATCTGGGAGCAAAATGTGAAGATTGTAGTCATGTTGTATAACAAAAAGGTCAGTCCAAACATGATTTTGTATCAGATACAGACAAACTTCACGCTCATCATTTCGTTTGTGTTTCCCTCATGAATTATATATTTATGAGTTTCACAACATTCTGGATACAAAAACATTTTCTTAATATCTAACTAGGATGGACCTCAGGAGTGTTACAGATATTGGCCGAAAGATAAGAACGACCCAAGTATACCTTCGAAGCGTGAATTTGATGAGGTAAGGGTTGTTATCGAGTTTCACAACAGGCTATTGCCCAGGGGCGTAGGAAGCTTCGAAAAGTTGGGAGGGGGGCAGGCTTTGAGGGGCACTTTTCGGAAAAAAAGGGCATCTAAAAATTTTTTCCCGGAAATGTTGGCGACGGGGCTTGGGAGGCATCTCAAAAAAATTTTCCGGACATACCAAAAATATTTTCCGGATATACCACATTTTTTCCTAAATACGAAAACATTTTTCCGGTCATATGATATTTTTCCCGGAAATTAAAAAAATTTTCCGGAAATAACATTGATTCAAGTTTTCAAAAGTGCCCTTCGGGCAAAAAATGCAATTTTAATGAAAATTTTTCACGCAAAAAGACCAAAACTTGGGGGGCCCTGGCCCCCCGGTTACTACGCCCCTGCTATTGCCCAATTGACAGGGGATCCAACAATCCAAGGTACCTACGATTTTAACGTCCTTATAAATGTAAGGTCCGTAGCACTTTCTCCTCAATTATTTTAAGACATTGAGTAGAGGTCCAACCAAGGATTGAACTCGGCTCTCCGAGCTTGAAAGACAAGCGTCAAGGCCTGCATGGTTTGTAGCATCATTTGTACCAGGAAGTGGAGATATATTTTATGGTCATTCATGCATAACTGTCTCTAAATGAATTGTTTCTGTTAACGTTTATAGTTTGAAGTGACAACACAATTTGTTAACAAATCTTCGTGCTACAAATCAAGAGGATTGAAGCTGCGTCATAACAAGCAAGAACAGGTACAGTATGAAATATAAGATACAACAAGCCAAAGCAAGACAGTTTTTTTATCTTTCTCTTTATTCTTGCAAAGGAAAAAACCATCATCTTACTGCAGTTTTCCCATTGGCCACATAATGGAATCCCAGCTGATGCTTCAGTTTTACTGGGTAAGATTGCATTTTATAATTATTATTAGGCCTGGTTCACACTATCAAAGTTTCTGTGATCACAGTAAGAATTTTGCAAGTTTTGAAGGATTTGTAAGAAATGTTTAAGGGAATTGACTCAGTGTTTAACACAGAGTGATGTTTTAACGTTGTTCTAGATTTCATGGCTGAAGTGGAATCGATACGAAATGAGTTTATCCAGGCAGAAAGTGACAACACGCCATCGCCTGTTGTCGTACACTGTCGTTCTGGTGTCGGGAGAACTGGAGTGTTTATTTTAGCAGATCTGATGATCGCTCATCTTCAAAATCAAATCAGACAGGTTTGTCATTTGTATTAGGTTATGTGAGGATATTAAGGGATTAAGGTTAGGGTTACTCAGGTTAGTGGTAGGATTAGCATAAGGGTAAAGAGCTGTTCATCAAACCAAGCTAAGCCAACTTTAAAATGTCATGATGCCGGGCCAGCCAAGCTCCATATGAACAACCCCTGAGGATTAGGTTTTACATCCATATTATCATTAATTGTAATAACTCGCGAGCTTACAAAATGAGAGAACGTAAGCCAGCCTTGTTAAACAGTTCATTTCTTTTGATAGCCTTTCAATGTTGCAAGAGTTTTGTCGAAGTTGCGAAGTCAACGAATGTCGTTGATACGAACTGTGGAGCAATATCGCTTTGTGTATGCATTACTAATACAATATCTCAAAAATAGTAGGCTAATCTAGCCGTAGGTAAGTTTATAAATATAGAATTTTATTACATACACCAATATACAGACATACTGTAATTATAAACATATATAACCCATACATATACTAACATTTTATATGATGCAACAAACAATCAAATAACTGAATGTGAAATAATCGCTTAATATTTAAGACAATTAGTGATTTAATAATGAATCGTGCCTAGGGTCGCAGCGATATAGACCAACCTCGTTCCCAAGCTCTTACGTCTTGTGGAGGAAAGACCCATGTAGGAGCTGGTCACGTCATCTGCTAAAATCTAGCAGATTTCTAATCAAGTATCTGGTTATCGTTCCATGTTTCGCGCACCAATATAAGTTAGGGTTAGGTATTAGGGTTAGGTTAGGTTTAAGGATAGGGTTAGGGTATGTATATACGTGTATGGAGGTATCCAGTTAACTTTTCAGTACACTATAATATCCATTACATAACGTTTACTATATTGGTGCGCGAAACATGGAACGATTACCAACAACTATCTTGGATTCCAAAAGTGTTAAATATCAAATATACGTCATCGTCAATTAAAAATCTGCTAGATTTTAGCAGATCACGTGACCAGCTCCAACCAGGGTCTTTCCTCCACAAGAGGTAAGAGCCTGGGAACGAGGTTGAATATAGACAAGGCCGTCTAGGTTTTTATTCAACTGTAAAGAACGAAAAGTGGGGGTAGTATTGTACAATAAGCTGCTGTGATTGTGGGTCAGAACTACCACTAGTAGGATTAAAAACGCTTCAATTTTGAGTGAAGTTAATCTTTTACAGTTATTTTTGACGCAAGCCACAGCAGGTGTTTCGTACAACTGTCCCACTGAAAAATGAATACAAACAACACAATATTTTATTGAGAAATAATTTATTAGAAATTCTCACTACATACGATAAAGTTTATATCAACAAAACTGTTCGTTTCTGTTTTTATTTCCTCGAGATCAAAATCCCTTGTTGTTAAGCCATTCTCTGATAGCCGCTGCATCTCGTTGCAACCATTGTGTGTTTAACCTGATGCTTTCCAACGACTGTTGTATGGATCTTTCTGCAGCAGGCGCGTCGTGCTCGTTGAAAAATTGCTGTGGGAAAAAAATACCAAGTAAACTATGAAATATTCTTAACTCTTACTGGATCTCTTGGAAAAACAGTTTAGAACTGATAAAACTATCCAGCATAAATAAAGTTAGTTTAGTTTACCTCAACCTCTTGGGCCATCTCGTTACTGGCAAAATTTGCTGTTACAACCTAGGAATGAAATGTGATAAAATAATATTTCACTGGGTATGAACGACCAAAACTCGTGCTCCGGTAAAACATTCTTACTACTTACGAAAGAACGCAAGTACTGACTAGACGAACACAAAATTTTGTTTCCACGTGGTAAGAGGTAAGTGTATGAAAACATTGTTAAAATGTGTTCAAGTAGTTTTAGATAAACTGTAAAATACTGAAGCAGTGATGAGGACAATATATTATAGACACGAAGTGTGCTTTATACTTTTTTTAATGTTATTACCATCGTCTTAACATACAAAATATTTTATAGCATCGTTTACTGGCTGAGTAATTGTAAATGCTTAGTTTATCCAACGTAAGTAAAGTTATCATTACTTACAGAATGTTTAGTTCGGTATCTTGCTTACCTTGACAAGTCGTGAAAGTAAAAATCCTCCTTGATAACGATCATGGAACTCTTTCCAGTTGTCCTTCGTGAATTGCCAAGCGTGACGCCGACCAAGAGCACTAAATATAACAATACTTAAATAAGTCTTCATTTTTGGACTTGAAATATTCCAATCTGTACAAACCTTCCAACTGTACTGCCAACGCAAAAGACGCTATCTTGGGAACGCACGTCTTTCTATAGTAAGAAATATAGATTGAAAAATGTTGATTACATACGTAAAAATCTCATAACTTGTCAACAAGATGTGTTCGCAACAGGCTTGTAGCAAGCTTGTCAACAAGTTGTAACAATGCTGTTACTTTATCAAGTTGCTACAGTACAAGGTTGTCACTCACAAATTGTTGAATTGCAGGACGATAACAAGTTGTTGGAACAACTTGTAACAAGTCTGTTGAATCAACCTTGTAGCAAAGGATTTTCTAGTGTCGAATGGCAAACGAGAAGAGCGTACTGTAGTTAACATTTCTGTAGTCCATCTGGTGTCTCCCGCAACGCAATGCTGAAACGCTCCAAACTTACCGAGAGCGAGAAGTTGAGGACATCTTTTATCAACTCAGTTTCCTTGACAGAACCCATACTTGTCAACAACCTAATCTTCTCTTCCTGCAGTTCAGCTTTACGATACAAGTCCTTGACCGTGGCTAAGGTATCATGGTCGCCATGTGCAAGAACAATCGAGTAGACTGGAGATCTCAAGTCAGCTGGGAGAGAACTTTCGCCTTTTGCATGTTGATCAAAACGTTTCTTTGCTTCAGCAACAGTCTCGTCATCTCCACATTTCCCCAGGAAACGAATCACCAGAGATCGTAGCAGAGCATCCAGATGACCTACAGATGTGACAAGAAATAAATCATGGCTTTGAAGACTCTGGATTGATGGGTTTTGGTAAGCGCCTGGTTTACACTATCAAAGTTCCTGTAATCACAGTAGTAATTTTGCATAGATAGGTTTTGAAGGATGTGTAAGAAACGTTTAACACTAACATTTCTTACAAATCTTTCAAAACCTTGACCACAGGCACAGAAACTTAGATAGTGTAAATCAGGCTTTACAATAGCACTCTGATCACTTACTTTCGCCTTCTTTAGGGTCCCAGCCTAATCTATCAGCGATAGGTTTATACAATTGCCGTAAGAATGACTTGAAGCTGTCACTGTAGTCCGTGTACTGAAGAAGCAACGCAAGTTTTCCCAAGTTCGTTGATACATCATTCCATACTGTGTAATTTGGTTCGTTTGTAAATGCATCGACGACAGTCAAGAAGTTTACCGTGCTTGTGTAACCAGCTCGAGCCTAGATGTGATATAAACTATGTTTGTACAATCTGATTTCGGGTCTAGACTAATGCAATTAGAAGTAGGTAATTACTCTCTTAATTAACTGTTCTAATTATTCTATTATTAACCAATTAGTTACTAATTTCTCTATTCTACTTCTAGGAAGAGCAACATCCATCAAAATCACTTACCAGCGCAAATTGATCGTTCTCAATGCCAAGTCGATCCAGTGGCGGAAGAGAGAGGTCTTTAATTGCGGGTACGAGCTTTTCCACCGTCTCTTTTGAGTAACAAACACGATAGAAACCAACTTGACCTGGGTTTAACTGGACAACAACATTAAAAATGATGATTGATGAAGGGATTTTGTAGTTGTACCTTGGGGACAAATATAAACTTAGGAAGGGTAAAAACCCCAAATGGTTACCTTGACCCATTTATCTGCAGCTAGGTTTGCAATTTCAATGACAGAGGAACCAGTTTCCAATAATGTCTTAGAAACTGCATCTTTGGGACTGTCGCTTGTTGATACTGAGATTGGAACACTCCAGATATATTTTGAATCCTCTGATAAAACAAAAACATGAATGTTAATTTAAACTTCTTGCATGGATGCAGTAACATTAAGATAAATACCTTCACAAGGTCCATCCGCAGAGAATTTCTTTTGTGTGATGTTTAGGACACGCGTGTCTGCATTCTAAAGAAAGAAGCTCTGATTCTAAATACATTTAGACCAATATAATCTTAATTCTATAACTGAAGATTACGTTTAATTTCATCGTTACCTGTGTTTCTTTGACGGTTAAAACAGGAAATCCCATCTGTTTGGTCCAGGAATGCATAACTTTCTCAACGTCTTTTCCACTTGCTTCAGATAAACTTTGCCAAAGATCCTCTATGAATATTCCCAGTGTTTTTGTTAGGGTGCTCGTATTGACTGAGATTATTCTGTACAATTCTTACCTGTCATGGCATTCTTGTAAGAGAATTTGGTCAAGTATTGATTAAGTCCGTTCTTGTAATCCTAGAGCAAAGAAAAACATATTATTCTCCACTCATCATTGTTACGACCGCATGAGGACATCATGTGTTCACCTCATCTCCGATGTAATTGTGCAACATTCTTATGACTGACGCTCCTTTCGAGTAAGAAATCAAGTCAAATATTTCGTCCACTTCATCTGGGCCACCAACTGGAACCTATTAAATATACATGATTGTTGTTTCTTTAAACTACATACTTGAGTATTGTTTTATAAATAGCATGAGGAACAGTAAGCTGGTAATGTATCATACCTCTATTGGATGGCTGTAAATGAAGACAATAAAAAAACATCAAAATTTTGAATTTTGTTTTATATTTTACATGTACTGTCAGGGCCGCCAAGAGGTTGGGCCGGGGCGGGGACCCGGGGCCAATTTTTCTTAGGGGCCCCTATCTAAAAAATTTTCCGGAGAACAACCTGTTGCCAAAACATTTTTGGTCAGTGTACCATTTTAGGGGTAAAAAAATTTTTCCGGAGTACAAAATTTTTCTGGACAAGTACGTTGCAATTGCTTTCAAGGGACTTTATCTCATTTTTTTATGCCAAAATTCGGTACTTAGCCCAAGAAAACAGATATATTGTCCTTTGCACGGAAATATTTAACCCACAAAAAAGGCTGGAGCCCAACAAAAATTTTTCAGGGGCCCCCAGCAACTCGGGGCCCGGGGCAATTTGCCCCCCCTGTCCCCCCTCTCGGCGGCCCTGTTTACTGTATATTGTGCCTAGAGTACTGTATACCTGTTTTTCATAGCGTCAAGGTCAAGAGCTCTGGTGTAATCTGACGTCACAAACTGTGTCCAGATGTCGTATTTTGGATGGCAGTAATCTACACACAGATATTCAATCCAGGATGCAAAACCTTCATTGAGCCAAAGGTGAGTCCACCATTCCTAGAAGAGTTACTATACATATAAGGGTTTGTTCACACAAGCCCAGCATAAGAGAGTGTGCTCATATGGGGAGCCAGCTTGGCACATGGTATGTCACAAAGGATCATATCACTTGGCTAACAATGTCACACAATGCATGACATCATAAGAGAAGTAATGGTACATGTTACTAAAAGAGATGAATGACTAGAAGGAATGATGTTACTATGGAGTTATGACATCACTTGAGCAATGACATCACTCGATTAATGACAGCATTTGATGGGGGTGTACAGCTACATCACCTGAGCAAATATACCAAATTGATGAAAGTCACACAAGCAATGGCATCACTCGTGGTCTACAACATGGTGATACAAACTTGCAGCTTCAAGTTACCAAACTTACCATGGTTACCTGAAACAAAGAAAAAACATCAATTAAAAACAAGCTCATTAATACAGAACTAGTGAAAAAGTATACATTGTAATGATTGTCCAAAATAATAGATTACAATTAACTTACCAAATTTCCAAACCACTGATGAGCCAACTCATGTCCTAGAAAAAGTCAAATGTAGTTTTTTCAAAATAAATTTCACCCTTCTTTGTCTGGAACCAATTTCTGTAATGTAAGGTCAATGTATAGTACCTACAACAAGTGCAACCCATTGTTTACTTGATGATGAAGAGTTTGTTGCATCAACCAGTAATGCAGTCTCTCTACACAAAACAGAAAAATATACAGTGACACCTTCAACTTTATGATTTGAGTTTATACAAGAACAGGGGGACTGTTTGAATGTTCAGTAGTATCTGGATTAAAAATACAAACCTGTATGTGACCAATCCCCAATTTTCCATTGCACCTACATAATTTGATCAACTCTTGTTTTAGCTTGCAGTGATAAGCAGAAAGTATGTTCATGACTGTTGAAAATCATACAGTAATGACTTTGAACAAACCTGCAGCAAAATCTGGAATAGCAATCAGATCAATCTTGGGAAGTGGGTAGGGAATTTTGAAGTAGTTCTTGTAGAATGGAAGAGTCTTAACAGCAACCTAGATACAATAAAAAATATTGTATAGGGGCCGGTTAAAATTTAACTTGCTGTTTTAGTTTGTGTATTTCTGCACGTCTGTTTAATTCTAAACTTCAGAAAAGAAAACTCCTACTAGCATCCAGACAAGATTTGTGAAGAAATATTTCCAAGTTTTAAAAACAACTTGTTAGAAAGTTTGCTTTTAATTTTAGGTTAACCTTGCATTATAACCGGCCACAGTACTGCAGTTATGATCATATACTGAGCAGTAATATCTACTGCAGGAAAGTGCTTGTTTGACCACTGCTGTACCTCTAAAGCAAATTTCCCCTGCTCGCTTTTCTGCAGAGGGGTGTAGACTCTGACAAGGACGCCATCTTTATCTTGAGCTTCAACATGATCAAACTCTCCAACAACAAACGCAAGAAGGTATGTGGACATGATTGGTGTTTGAGCAAACTTGACGACCTTTAACTCTGAGTCCTCTTGATGTGCCGTCTCTTCAATCACATTCTGCAAGGTTGAATACACTAATAAGTGAGTACAACACTGCAACTAGTAGATAACTATAACAGGTATAGGAGAGTAGAAGAGGATGCCATACCATGTTGGATAATGTGACTTTGTCTTTAGGAACAATCAGAGTAATATCAAAGGTTGCTTTGATTGCTGGTTCATCCCAACACGGGAACGCTCTTCTTGCATCAGCTGCCTGAAATGATCAAGAAAAATTTTTAATTTTATGTTATTGGATAGCAAATGAGGGTAATACAAGTCTCCACCTCGAACTGTGTTACAGCACAATGTCGTTCCACTCCATCAGGTGTTGTGTACTTGCTGCGATAAAATCCTTTCATTTTGTCATTCAGTTCACCAGTATATTTCATGGACAATATGCCTGCTCCGAGTTGGAGGTTGGATGGAAACTGAATAGAAACAGTCTCTTGTTCTTTGTCATAATTAATATCCTTGCTTTCAATGTCTGAAAAATAGAACAACAATTACTCGACAACACTTTGGATTGAGACACACTCTTGGGCTAGTATGTTAGAATTACTTAAACAGTTCATTGACCATACCTTTACCCCCAATGTTGATTGAAGCACTTGAAATATTAATCTCAGCACAGTTCATTGTAATTTTGTCTGTTGATGTTTGCACCTAAAAATGAAAGTCTTGATGTAGAATACTATACATCCAACCAAACCTTAAATTTGATTACTGTGGTGACCATGGAGGGAATCGAACCCGCAACCTTTGTGGTCCAATGCTCTACCAACTGAGCCATGAGGTAAAACCAGTTTGAGTGAGTGATATTTCAAAACTTAGTCTACTTTGTTATCTGTATATATAACAATATCTTAAATATTATGATTGTAGTGTTTATAGAACTCAGGTAAGTTATTTTTATACATATATTGACAAAACTAAACTGTCTCGAAAAAATCTACCCCAACTGGTTCAACTCTACTTGAACAAGTTCTGAAATATCACTTGCCTGAACTGACTTGACCTCATAGCTCAGTTGGTGGAGCATTGGACTACAAACCAAAGGTTGCGGGTTCAATTCCCACCGCAGTCAGGCAACTTTTCAGATTCTTGAAAATTGCTGACTCAGGTAGTTTCAAAACTAAGATAATGTACAAACACAAGTACATGTACAATTCAGATGTTCAATAAATAAAACAAAATGATTTATTTTACAGAATCATGCAAGATCACAGCTGTAAAACATCTATCTACTGATATCTCTACCTCGAGTTCAACGACTTCCTCCCCAGCAAAGGTAAAATCTTTCAGATTAGGTGTCAAAATCAAAGCATAGTTTTTAGGCACAACATTTGTAGACAGCCGTTCAAAAGGCTTCTTTTCAGTTTTGTCAGCCATAGTTAGTACTGATATAAACCTGGTTGTAGTTTGCTGAAAATAACGAGTTTTAAGACGAAGTGATAGTGAGACCGTTCCAACGATTGTTGATCTTCTGAGAAGCATGTGAGCTGTGATATGTGGTGATATCAAGGATGGCTAAGGATGGTAAAGAAGGTCTAAGGATGGCAAAGGAGATCGAAGGATGGCAAAGGAAATCTAAGGAAGCCTAAGGATATCTAAGGAAGCCGAAGGATATCTAAGGAAGCCTAGGATATCTAAGGAAGCCTAAGGATATCTAAGGAAGCCAAGGATATCTAAGGAAGCCTAAGGATATCTAAGGAAGCCTAAGGATATCTAAGGAAGCCAAGGATATCTATCTAAGGAAGCCTAAGGATATCTAAGGAAGCCTAAGGATATCTAAGGAAGCCTAAGGATATCTAAGGAAGCCTAAGGATATCTAGGAAATCTTAGGAGGTCTAAGGATGGCTAGGGATGTCTAAGGATATACATCAAGGCAACACGTGTTCCGACGTTTTCCGAAGGTGGTCCGAAAACATGTTATGATTCTTGTCATTTTCAATTTATTAGAGAAAGTTTATGAAATGGTTTTTATTATTCCTTTAGAATTGATTTCCTCAGCTGGGATTGATACAAGATGACTGGATGGCAGAAAATCTGTGATTTTGATTACTTTTTTGCACGCTAGCAGTATGAAAATGTAAAAATCATTGAGAACATGTGAATAGACACGTTGGAAGGACGTTGCAAATATTCCTGATTTTGCCTAAAAGTTGTGCATATATACTGCATATACAAATCTAACAGGCACACGATGGAAGATTGTTGCAACTGTTTCTCTTTAAAGAAGGTGAGTTTCGTAAATAAAAACATTGTCTGTCCATTTCACCATTTGAAAGGTTTCACTAACCAGGCTAAACTAACCAGTCGGGCCAACCAAATGAACCAATTGGCTGGGCTGTTTGAAACTGTCAATCAGATGCTTCAATCAGATGCTGTTGACAAACATGAAATATCT